CACTACCACTTGGCTCTGTTCAGTATAAAAAATAAGCATACACATTCTTACGGGCATCGAAAAAAACCCAATCATATTAAACCATAATAAATATAAACAGATTTTTGTTCAGCGTCGTGTGAAGATGTTCAGATGAAAATGAGTAAAAGTAAAGTTGACCTGACCCTTCCGTCCAAACCTAATCCAATTGTTGGAATGTATTAATTCATTGAGAAGTGGAAGGATCCGTGGTCATAGTGAGGAGGGGGGTACGGTGGGGTTGCAGTCAAGTCTCACCGGCACAGGAAACTGTAGGCTGAGATCGTCGTGAGGCGTTAAGGCATTGAGGAGGGGTTCTGCTTTTTTCGTTTGAGTAAGCGTTTTACGCACTTGCAACACAGTTAGGTCATATAGATGCCGAAGATTTCGTTTTAGTAAGAGTTTTATGGCACTTGGGACGAAATAAGGTCATATAAGTGCCGAGGATTTTGGGTGTTACAAGAGAGAAACAAACACAAAAAGAAGGAGAGATAAGGACGATGGATGTTTGACAGGAAAGATGGAGCAAACCATACCAGAGCACCCGCCAACCACCCACGTGCCGAAGATTAGAGGTGTCACAAGAAAGTAACAAACACAAAAAAGAAAGGATGGGAGATAAAAGGAGCCAACCACAGCAGAGCACCCGCCAAACACCCATATATACTTATACCAGAGAGTCTGTGCTTATACCTTACTTTTGGTTCTGAGACTACAGAGGAAGCACGTGAGGTGACGGGTTCCTCTCACTCTACGTGAAACCTTTAGGGAGCGCCTGAACCAAAATGTTGAAAGGAAACATGTTATTGTGGCAAAACATTTATTATTACTCGTGCAAAACTTCCCGCGTAGGTTTGAGAAAATAGAATGTTTTGGCACTGGGCCTGCCGTGATCTGGAATCTGCGTAGAGTAGGGGAGGGGGCAGAGGGGGGTGGGGTGCGGGACCCACGGGCGTTCGGCCAGATAAGAAAGTACGTGAAATTCTTTTCCTTTTTAAAAAAAAAACTCATGACTTACGTCATTCTCAGGAGCACGAGGTGCGTCCCAGTAGCGAGGAAGAGATGGGCTAGATGCTGAGGGGAGATAAGGCGAACGTTTCATGCCTTACGCTGACGAGTTTTACACACACGGACTGTACTCTTAACTTTCACGCCCATTTCGACATAATTTAGACTAGAATTACGGTGACGTCAGCTTTCCTTCCACCTTCACTCTGAACGTGAAGGACGTTAATGAATCATGAAAGGGTTTCAATTTGAGCTACGAGTTTAACTCCCTTTTTCCATGACGTGGATTAACCCTAAAATGTCTTCGCATTAACGTCCATCCCCGATTAAGAGCATATGGCATCTCGCTAACACAGAATTACAAAGTTCTGTCTGCTCAGTACCTAGTTTTGAAGAATCAAACGTTTAAAATGTTGAGTTTCATATTAAGGCTAAGCTTTTACGAATGTAATACTTTGACTACCTTGATAACGACTCCGAATAATCTTACTATTTTGATAGAGCAGACAGGCAAGGCATTTGGTTTCTGACCTCATGGTCTTAATAGATCTAACTCGAACCGGCCAAAAATGTCAGAGAGAACTTTGTAATAATTCTAAGGTAGTGATCTGTTACAACCCTCCGCTCTGTTCTATTAGATCTTCTTCTTTCTCAGGTGTGTAGAGGAGACATTGGCGATCACAGTACCCCATTCCTTCCGGTAGTTATTTTTCCTGAGCTCAGTTTTGTTTTAATTATATTGTTCGTTATAAAGCTGTTCAGGCCACCAGTGTGTATTGTTCTCTGTCTTCCCCGGCCTGTCTTTCCCATTACCTTTATCTTTCTACACAATAGCAATAACTCAACTCTATTTTGTTCCTTTTATTGCATACCGTACACACATTAATTTGTCAAGTCCGGTTTGCATTACGACTGGGGCAAAATTCCCTTTTACCAAAGAAAAAGAAACATATCTTTCAGGAATTCCGCCTCAAGTACGGTCAAACAGCAGTAGACCTGGTGGTTTCCTGACTATGAAACGAATCTGCCCATATCTGTCCACACCTTGCCTCTTGACCTCTGGGATATTCATCACATCTGCGCAGGTGAAAATACAGAACCATTTGATCGAGAAACAAGAGGGCAGGCGCGCACCACGAATCGAGGAGTACAATAGATCCGACTCACTTCCTTATCTTTTGTTCGTTGGATGTTTTGTAAATAAAGACGGAGAGATAGAGAGAGAGAGAGAGAGAAAGAGAGAGAGAGAGAGAGAGAGAGAGAGAGAGAGAGAGAGAGAGAGAGAGAGCGAGAGAGAGAGGGGGAGGAAGTCCTCACGAAAGATGAAAGGGAGTGTCTGATACGGACACTGATAAATAAGCAAGGCTGCTACTCTGCAGTGCACCCTGGAAAGTGATCTCTCTTTTCTCTGTCTTTCTTGACTACGTCTCCCATTCTCTCTGGTCTCTCATCCCCCCCCCCCCCCACCCCCCTTTTTCCCCATTCCGCTCTCCAGATCTTCCTAGGCCTTTCTTGGTTACGAAAAAGGGAAAGGTGAAAAATCACCGGTGAAAGGGAGTATAGGTTAATTATAAAGAATATGGACAGCGATGGGCGAATGGCATAAAGTACTGGACATCACACTGTTTTTGTTACTAGTGTGATGTGAGTCCGTTCAACAAAATGTGCTACTGAGCACTTTTAGGGAAAATACCTAATATACAAAAAGACCCGTGGAAACACAGGCAGACACATACACTCGTGCAAACAAATAAATACACAAGCACATACACACAGCACACGTACACAGACATACACACACGCGCTCGATACATGCGCGCTTTATTGAAGTAAGACAGTAATTAAAAGGAGGAGGTGGAGGAGGAAGAGAAGTAGCAGAGGGGAAAGAGGAAGGGAGGAGGAGAAGGAGAAGAAGAAGAAGGAGGGAAAATGACAAAATAAGAATTGGAGTACGTGGGAAAACAGACAACATGCACAGGATGGGCCGGCGGATTCCAGCGCAAACGATCAACACATGGGCGCATGTAATGTGTACGGAGGATAGAAAGAAGGGACAAAAAAGGGGGGGGGGGAGGGGGGGGGGGGGGTGGGGGCAGGGGGCGAGATGGCGTGAAGATAGGCCTAATGTTAAGCACAATTCGAACCTGATGTCTTTGAGAGACTTACTAAAGCAGCCCACGGGCCTGCTAACATGATTTGTTAACAAACTTGCAGTTTAGAGGCGTTTCAAATAACATGTCTTTCTTATTACATCATTTCACAGTTTTCACATATACCGCCAGGTAACAGTCTAACAGAAGAGATGTGAGTTTACATCCTTTTTCAAACCTGTTTCAAGGTCTGTACGAAAGAGTTAAAAGGTCCACCTTGGCACAAAGTACAATAAGTTATCAGAATATCGTTATTGCCAAGAGAGAGTGCTAGAACATCGATAGAAGTAACTTCAAGGGTTAGGGGTAAGGTTAGAGGTAGGGGTAAGGGTGCAAGAGTATGGGGGTGTATGGGTGTAGATGTGTAGATGTATAGGCCAGGGTGTAGGAGTGCATGAATAGGGGTAAGGTAGGGGCCAAAACCGGGGCGTCTCTCACTATTTTGGCTCGGAAATTATTGTGGACCCGGGGAGATCGACAGAAGGAACACTTGCAAAGTCTTACGGAGATAGCTAAGTTGACAGTCGTAACCCGTAACAACACCTGCACTCTGAGTCACGACATGACTCCCTGACTATCTGACTCTCACAACATCTATATCTAGATCAACATCTTTTCGTTAAATACCACACATTACTCACTCGGACTCACACTGAAACAAAACAGCAATCATCACTGTCTGGACTAGATCTAGTATACCCTTCTTGCTCTGCTGTACTATCACTATCACTGTCAGGGAAACTATTTTAACGACCGTCCGGATTCGGAACTCCACTCGCTCCATCCCTGTTGTTTGCTTGGCAAAGCTGATAACCTTTGAGCCGGAGCGACGAAACCTACCTTTGATAAATGGTACAAAAACACTCCCCTCCCCCTCCCTCTCTCTCTCTCTCTCTCTCCCTCTCTCCTTCATCTCCTGATCTCTCTCTCTCTCTCTCTCTCTCTCTCTCTCTCTCTCTCTCTCTCTCTCTCTCTCTCTCTCTCTCTCCATCCATCTCATCCCCATCGCAGCTGTGATTTAGGACAGTGTCTTTTGGTGACGAGTACGAGTACTCACTGCTATGCCAGTGAATTTTCCTCCTGAGTCAGGCCGCTCGTGCCTTGCTCGCAAACTGTAGCTCGTCTCCACTTTATCTAATCTCACTTTATCTCAGGAATTTTCTACAAACGGCAGGCACCTTTTGAGTGACATTGGTACTTGCGTATTTCGTACTGGATTCTAACATTTGGCCTTATTTTTGTTAATCTGATTATAATTTCGAACTGTACTTGACACAAACTTTGTCACTAATAAAGAGGGGGGGGGGGGGGCATTTGACGCAGTGTAAAGAAGAAAGGAGAGAGAAGTAAAGATAGAACGCACAAGCGTTACACAAAGTAAACATCACGCGCCGATGTTCACGAGTGATGATGAACAATAATAATTGCCTGCCCACAGTGAGCCTGGAGAATCCCAACGCCCGCCCCAGAAAACGGAACTTACTTCTTGTTGTCTACGCTAGATCTAGATCTAATCTAGATCTAGACTAGATCTAGTATTAATACAATCATATCGACATCGGAAAATATATAGATCTAAAGACATATCCACGTTCAGATGGTCAGTTGTTAAAGCTTTCCAAACTTTCAGTCCAAGCATCTTTCTTTGTGGTCTGGTTTCGTTTTAATATCATTTCTGTTAACCTGAAGCTAGACATACAAAGAACTAGATATAGATTCTAGATTCTAGATATCTAGATCTACAATCTAGATAATATTATTTTGAAAAAAAACCAACCTGGATCTAGATATCTACATCTAAGAGAACATCTCGAAACTACTCACCAAATCAATGATAGTCCGCTAACAGGAAAGAAATTCGCAGCGCAGAATCTTCTCCCAGCAAAAACACTGGCAAGTAGATCTAGACCAAGCAATCGCCTGTTAGGCTCAGTCAACTGTCTGTCTAGTCAGAATCACTGTGAGGGAGAAAGGTGGATGGGAGTGAGAGAGCGCGCGAGTGGCGAAATGGGTGAGTGAGTGAGCGAGCGAGCGATGGAGTGCCGGTCCAAAGTAGCTCAAGAGTGAGAGGATCTCTCTCTCTCTCTCTCTCTCTCTCTCTCTATTTCTCTCTCTCTCTCTCTCTCTCTCTCTCTCTCTCTCTCTCTCTCATACAAACAAACAAGCAAGCAAACAAACACACGCGCACTCACAAATCATACTGTTACGTCGCGTCGAGAGATTGAAGGCGTGTGTACATTGTAAGCGGGCGGGGATGTTGGGGAGGGGGACTTGTGGGAGAAGATGGGGAGGGGGAGGGGCTCTTGAGCGTGAGTCAGTTGGCCGGAACCACAGAGAAAGAAGAGGAGACAGAATGTGTGCCAGCAACAAATTAGTAATTAACTCTAACTGCATATTTTGTGACAGCAAGTTGAACATTTATAAATCCATACGTTAACATTTTTGGCATAAAAGGATGGGTATAACTTGCATTTCCAACCACAATATTCAGAAAAGAAAGAACATTTGATATCATGAATATAATGTTTTAGGCCTAGAACAGGCAAAGGAGATATTTATGGTGATTGAGGAAAACCAGAAAAAAACAAGAATGCAGCGTCTAGTCACTAGACGTGCCGACTTCTAAGAGTTAAAAATGACAAAAACGACAAAAACTGGTCTCCAATTTGACGTGCAATCTGTGTTTCTGTAAAGCGTGATCATGCTAGTTTTCAAAGTGCTGCTACCTGCTCTCTAACTCTTTATCATAAAAAATTTTAATCCTGCCTAGGCCTTATACATAACTTAACGTGGCTGTGACAAGTCTTCCCAAAATGTATGGTATTGAACTTTCAGAAATTGTCTTAAATCAGAAGCTGCTTCGTTCACACACGAACCGATGGCGCCAGGGGAGGCTAACGTTTTTTTTCCGGTTTTTTTTTTTCAAAGCGCGGAGGGGTCTATCCATCTATCCTTCTTTTTAACATGAAATCAATGGAATAGAATAAAGAAAAAGAAAGAAAGACGTTAGGAATGAGCGGGATTCTCAAATTCATAGCATTAGCGAACACCCTAAAGCTATGCCGCTCCAGTTTTGTACTGAAAAAACATAAATGCAAACCCACATGAGAACTAGGCAACTGACAGAGACTCTGGACTTTTCAAAGGGGGTTCCTTTCAAAGTATGTAGACCTTCTTTTGAGGAAACTGGCGTCCTTAGTGCTCGTCGCACATGCAATAAGACATGCTTTTATTTTTATCAAAGGGAGATATATTTTATCGAGTATCTTTATCTTTCTGCTACCTTGTGCTGTCCCTCATAACCATATGTGTCACGACGCGGTGGGATCAGGCGCTCGTCAATTTTGGGGCATGTGGAGTTATTGGTGTCATCTTTAAAAGCTTGTTCATAATCTGTCTATCTTTCGACGAAAAAATACCTTTAGTGCGGTCAAAATTTCGTGGCGCAACTTATTGTTGAATATTTTATAAACTATCGAATAAAGACTCTCCAGCTTTGGCAAGATGACTTGTACCAATTTGTTTTTACAGATCAATGTTGTTGTTAATACCTGTTAGCTGCATTCTAGAAAATTCCTTCATAAACACTAATAAAAAATCGAGATGGGTGGAGCTACAGATTTTAAAAGGTTGGCAGTTGGGGTGATATCGCTTTTAAAGCAAGTCCATCATTTCTTTGCTAATCGTGACGCTATGCTGATTTTATTCATGTTTTAAGAACTTTTAGAGCGAAAAAATGTGTTAAGTATAAAATTGATTTGATGTAACAAGTTTTGCTACTAAAACATGCTATTTATGAGCTGTGATGCAGGCCATATGCGTATTCAAAATAATATGTGTTGATACAAACTGCTGTGCAAAGTATGGGTGACATTGATTCACCCGTTTTAAAAAGATTATTATTTGAGGATAAGTTGCGCCACGATTTTTTGGCCATTGGTTTTGAATAGAAGATGAGATTTTAGTGATTGAAGGAGGTGGGGGTCGCCAGGTTTCAGAGGTAAAATTAGTGAGAAGACGGCCGCCAGAGTTTGGTAGCTTTGAAAGCTTGAGCATTGAGAGTCATGGGAAACTGAAAATTTACCTTTTCGGGCCTTCAATGAAGGTTTATCAGTAAAATGTAGAGAACTGTGTTTTTAAATGGACATAAAAAGTGTTGAGCCGAAAACAAACAAAAAATTCAGTAACAGTTGCCCACAGGGTGGCAGAATGTCGGGGTTTTTTTTCGATTTTAATATTTTGACAAGCGCCTGATTTCCCTGCGGTAGGCCTATTTTACCTTCGAGTATCTGCGTCTTTCTCTTACAACATATTGTCCATCATAACCATACAAACTATACTGAAACACTCCACCTCTTAACTAGCCTAAATTGTGTCGATGGGGGTAAAAAACATAAAACAATCCGTCAGACAGTGAACAACACTGTGTGTCTTCAGATAACAGTCTCGGAAGTCCTTCCCCGGAGGGACCCACACCCGTCAGAAGTGCCACGAGGCACGTGATCTATGGCCGGCGGAGATCTCCTCACGCCACACAGAGCGGCGCCTCATCTGACTGTCCAGGCTGGCCTGGGATTGTTCGGACAGCTAGAGGTCAAGGAGAAAGGTCAGAAGGACCCAACAAATCATGGCAGGGCAGCTGGTCGGTCAGGTACATGAGTTAACACGAACTGCATTGCATTTCATTTAGCTTATCTATTCTTCGGCTTACTGCAACCAAACACGTCCGTCCTTTGAGACGTCATTTCATTTTGAGAGTACAATGTATTTTCCACACAAATTTAGACCTTTTTTCCCAAGCGTAGGTCCCGATGCATTACACAACCAATTATTAAAAAGAGATCTGTGTCGTAATCGGATTTTGAACGAGTAGACAACACAATGGAGATCTAAAGTTCAGGCCACTGAAAGAAACACTTATTGTGTGTGCCACCAGCCACTATTAGAAATAAAAATGGTTATTAACTTGTTATAGTATCGCGTGTAACAGAAAGTCATGGGCAGTAGTGATGGGCGGTTAGGTTCCCGGTTATTGAAAGCTAGAAATCGTAGGAATCGACTCCGAACCCAATTACTTACGTTCAAATGATATGGTTTCTTCCGGTGGTTACCTGGTAGGCTCCGAACAACTTCAGGGTTTATGATATAACATTGCTTTTGGAACACTACGAAGCATCAACTTCTTTTTCCAAAACTACATTTAAAAAAATAGAAGATTTTAATGATTAAAGTAACTGGTAACCGTTGGCAGCGCAAAGTTAAATGAAAGTCGTAGCTGGTACTCTCTATCCCTATGACGAGGGAAAATAATGGAAAAATGTACAACATAAAATGTCAAACAGTCTATGGGATAATTGCAGCGGGATTGCCCGCCTTTGTCATAACTGGGATCAAGAAAACAAACTAAAAATGTGTACACTTAGCCAAACATATATAATATTATTATGCGCACGGGCTATGGCTAGTTGAAACTGCATTTTATAACTTTTCCTTGAGCTAAACTTCGGAGTAGATTGCTGGAATTCTTGGGTGGTCTAATGTTCTACATGGATTCATATTTAGAGGAGGGAGAACTTGTGGACTCCGCCTGATTTTGTGAGTTTCGTCAGATTGAATATACATTGTACATGCTTCTTGAAAACATTTGAAAATAAGTGATAAATAAATCTCGTATATCTTGCCAGAGAAAAAAATTAGTAGATTTTGGTGGTCATACACTCTTCAGATGCTTAAAACGCCTCAGTCTGAGGCCATTCTTAATACACATTACAGGCTTCGTACGGTTGAGTACGCGCATTATATTCTTTCGACAAAGCTCGAAAACGCTTTGGGCCAATTTAAAAAAGAAGCAAAATAAATTCGTTATTCATACAGATTTTTCAGTTGTTTTCCTTTCTGAAACTTAAAAAATGCAAGCAGCAGTTATCCAGATTTTTAAATTGTGTTTTCTTTCCTGAAATTTAACAAGGTAGGCAACAGCAGGCATAGACAACTATGAACAATGCAAACTCGTATTTCTGATTAACTGTGTATGGTTGTTCGAAATGTGTCATACGGTGCCTCCGATCGGAAGCTGATCTACGCACTTAAAGAGTTAAAACGTAGGTTGAATATTAGAGACAAATAAGTTGACCTTAGTCATCAGATAGAATATAACTTGTGGTGAGTTGCCCATACTGTAAAAGTACTCATCGCACCAGGGGGATGCTTATTTTCTAGCGCGAACAAAAAAACAGAATATGAAAGAGGATGTTATCTGTTTAATCGCCCCATTTACTGCAGCAGTCACAGTTGCTGGGTGAGTTTATTTTCCTCTCGGCAGCTGTGTCTGTTCAATGTGGGTGGTTAGGGAGGGCTCCCTGGAGAGGGAGGGAGCTCCCCGCTGTTTCTGCATATCTAGGTGCCGTATCTATCTCTAGTTTAGCTTTATCCAGCACCAATCAACTATGCCGTTGTGTCTACGAAAAGCTCACTTTCATGTAGTTTCAATAAAATTTTGTATGTTTCATGCCTTATATCCTATAGATTTTTTTGATGGACGACGTCCTATTGTGACTGTTATTATTGGTCATTGCTTTTATCACCTGTACTTTATTATCGATCTATCTATCTATCTATACATCTGTCTATCTATCTACCCGTTTATCAGATTAAAATAATATTGAAAGGTATGATAATCTATACTGCACTAACTATAGGTTAAAATATCATACTTATACTAAATTGGTTCCCGATCGGCGCAGACAGATAGATAGATAGATAGATAGATAGATAGATAGATAGATAGATAGATAGATAGAACATAATCAAACTTACTCTCAAATGGTTTCCTCCCTGTCTGCAGCAACATAATTTCATCGTCCCACTTTTTCCTTCCAAATTGTCGCCTCTTTGTTTATGAAGAGTTACCTACAAACAGTGTGGAGCAGGGAGTGTACATGGAGCACTGACCCTTGCGATCGGGAAAACTGTCCCCACCCATTACTCTGCTGGACTAATTTAAAGCCTGACATTTCAAGAGTTCCCAGATA